TTTGCCATTTTGAAGTTGTAGTTGCTGGGATTTATAGTTCACCAACAATCAAAGAGCATTCTGAACTCCACCAATGATGGAATTGAACCCAACTTGGCACACTGAACTCCCATCCACAGAAATACTGGAAGGGTTTGGTAGGCATTGACCTTGAGTTTTGGAGTTGTAGTTCACCTACATTCAGAGAGCACTGTGGACTCAAACAATGATGGATCTGGACCAGACTTGGCACGAATACTAAATAGGCCCAAATGTGAACACTGCTGGAGTTTGGGGAATATAAACCTTGACGTTTGGGAGTTGTCGTTGCTGGGATTTATAGTTCACCAACAATCAAAAAGCATTCTGAACTCCAAAAATGATAGAATTGGGCCAAACTTTCCACGCAGAACCCCCATGACCAACCCAAAACACTGGAAGGATTTGTGGTCATTGACCTTGAGTTTGGGAGTTGTAGTTCACCTACATTCAGGGAAGACTGTGGACTCAAAACAATGATAGATCTGGACCAGACTTTGCACAAATACTCAATATGCCCTAATGTGAACACTGGTGGAGTTTGGGGAAAATAGACCTTGACGTTTGGGAGTTGTAGTTCACCTACATCCAGAGAACACTGTGGACTCAAACAACGACTGATCTGGACCAAACTTGGCAGGAATACTCAATATGCCTAAATGTGAACACTGGTGGAGTTTGGGGAAAATAGACCTTGACATTTGGGAGTTGTAGTTGCTGGGATTTATAGTTCAACTACAATCACATAGGATTCTGAATTCCACGATTGATAGAATTGGGCCAAACTTCCCACACAGAACCCCCATGGCCAACAGAAAATACTTTGCTTTCTGATGGTTTTGGGCAACCCCTTTGACACCCCCTCGCAACTCACGAAGGGGGTTGAGAAACACAGTACTAGAGGGTTCCTCTCCCATTTTAGCAATGGTGCCCACCCTACAAGAGTGGAGAGATAGTTTATATAAGCATCCAAGAGTGGAACCTGTAAAAAACCCCATAATTTCCCATATTGGCACCCTAAAAGCAGCCTCTGCCCCCTTCTTCCCTCTTTCTCCTCCATCTCTGCTTCTGCCTTTCCTTCTGCTCCACTACACTTGAAATGAGGGGGAAGGACGAGAGTAAGCCAATGTGTAGGAATGAGCGAGTCAGGGAGCTGCGCCAAATTGCTATTTTTTGCCAAGGAAGAAAAGCACATCCCTTTCTCTCTCTGTGTGTGTGTGTCTATTTTCTTCTTGCCATCAGGGAAACACCATTCAGTTCATAGCATCCCGGTTGTAGTAGATGCTTATGGCTGTAGTAGATGCTTACCATCCGGTTCATAGAATCCCGGTTGTAGAAGATTCTTATGGCTGTAGTAGATGCTTACCGTCCGGTTCATAGCATCCCAGTTGTAGTAGATGCTTACCTTCCGGTTCATAACATCCCGGTTGTAGAAGATGCTTGTGGTTGTAGTAGATGCTTACCGTCCGGTTCATAGCATCCCAGTTGTAGTAGATGCTTACCTTCCGGTTCATAACATCCCGGTTGTAGAAGATGCTTGTGGTTGTAGTAGATGCTTACCATCCGGTTCATAGCATCCCGGTTGTAGTAGATGCTTACCATCCAGTTCATAGCATCCCGGTTGTAGTAGATGCTTACCATCTGGTTCATAGCATCCTGGTTGTAGAAGATGCTTATGGTTGTAGTAGATGCTTACCGTCCGGTTCATAGCATCCCGGTTGTAGTAGATGCTTACCATCTGGTTCATAGCATCCTGGTTGTAGAAGATGCTTATGGTTGTAGTAGATGCTTACCGTCCGGTTCATAGCATCCCAGTTGTAGTAGATGCTTACCTTCCGGTTCATAACATCCCGGTTGTAGAAGATGCTTGTGGTTGTAGTAGATGCTTACTGTCCGGTTCATAGCATCCCGGTTGTAGTAGATGCTTACCGTCCAGCTCATAGCATCCTGGTTGTAGTAGATGCTTGTGGTTGTAGTAGATGCTTACTGTCCGGTTCATAGCATCCCGGTTGTAGTAGATGCTTACCGTCCAGCTCATAGCATCCTGGTTGTAGTAGATGCTTATGGTTGTAGTAGATGCTTACCGTCTGGTTCATAGCATCCCAGTTGTAGTAGATGCTTACCGTCTGGTTCATAGCATCCCGGTTGTAGGAGATGCTTATGATTGTAGTAGATGCTTACCATCCGGTTCATAGCATCCCGGTTGTAGAAGATGCTTATGGTTATATTAGATGCTTACCGTCCGGTTCATAGCATCCCAGTTGTAGTAGATGCTTACCTTCTGGTTCATAGCATCCTGGTTGTAGAAGATGCTTATGGTTGTAGTAGATGCTTACCATCCGGTTCATAGCATCCCGGTTGTAGTAGATGCTTACCATCCAGTTCATAGCATCCCGGTTGTAGTAGATGCTTACCATCTGGTTCATAGCATCCTGGTTGTAGAAGATGCTTATGGTTGTAGTAGATGCTTACCGTCCGGTTCATAGCATCCCGGTTGTAGAAGATGCTTATGGTTGTAGTAGATGCTTACCGTCCGGTTCATAGCATCCTGGTTGTAGTAGATGATTACAAGAAGGAGAGACTCAAATGAGGAGCCAAGAAGGACCCCAAATGGGGAGCCAAAGGGCAATAAGACTGAAAATTGAATTAATTTAGATTATCCCGATATTCCTATACTCCTCCTTTACCTATTTTGTGCTGCCTTTCCTTTTGGACTTCCACCATTCCTAACTGCCTCGGCGTCTTCCTGAGTCTATTAGGAATGGTGGGAGTTGGAGTCCAAAACACCCGGAAGGTCCAAATTTACCCATACCTGATTTAGATTATCCTGATATTATTATACTACTTCTTTACCTATTTTGTATTGCCTTTCCTTTTGGACTTCCACCATTCCTAACAGCCTTGGCGTCTTCCTGAGGCTGTTAGGAATGGTGGGAGTTGGAGTCCAAAACACCCAGAAGGTCCAAGTTTACCCATGCCTGATTTAGATTATCCTGATATTCCTATACTGCTCCTTTACCTATTTTGTGCTGCCTTTCCTTTTGGACTTCCACCATTGATTATCCCAATATTCCTATACTCCTCCTTTACCTATTTTGTGCTGCCTTTCCTTTTGGACTTCCACCATTCCTAACTGCCTTGGCATCTTCCTGAGGCTGTTAGGAATGGTGGGAGTTGGAGTCCAAAACACCCAGAAGGTCCAAATTTACCCATGCCTGATTTAGATTATCTTGATAGTATTATACTCCTCCTTTACCTATTTTGTGCTGCCTTTCTTTTTGGACTTCCACCATTCCTAACAACCTCGGCATCTTCCTGAGGCTGTTAGGAATGGTGGGAGTTGAAGTCCAAAACACCCAGAGGGTCCAAGTTTACCCAGGCCTGATTTAGATTATCCCGATATTCCTATAGTGCTCCTTTACCTATTTTGTGCTGCCTTTCCTTTTGGACTTCACCACAGATTATCCTGATGTTCCTATACTCCTCCTTTACCTATTTTGTGCTGCCTTTCCATTCCTAACCGCCTTGGCGTCTTCCTGAATCTGTTAGGAATGGTGGGAGTTGGAGTCCAAAACACCCAAAGTGTCCAAATTTACCCATGCCTGATTTAGATTATCCGGATATTCCTATACTCCTCTTTTACCTATTTTGTGCTGCCTTTCCTTTTGGACTTCCACCATTCCTAACCACCTCGGCGTCTTCCTGAGGCTGTTAGGAATGGTGGGAGTTGGAGTCCAAAACACCCGGAAGGTCCAAGTTTACCCATGCCTGATTTAGAGTATCCTGATATTATTATACTCCTCCTTTACCTATTTTGCGTTGCCTTTCCTTTTGGACTTCCACCATTCCTAACAGCCTCAGGAAAGGGCCTAAGGCTGTTAGGAATGGTGGGTGTTAAAGTCCAAAACACCCGGAAAGTCCATATTTACCTATGCCTGATTTAGATTATGCCAATATTCCTATACTCCTCATTTACCTATTTTGTGTTGCCTTTCATTTTGGACTTCCACCATTCCTAACAGCCTCAGGAAAGGGCCTAAGGCTGTTAGGAACGGTGGGAGTTGGAGTCCAAAACACCCGAAGTGTCCAAATTTACCCATGCCTGATGTTGCAATCCAGAGCAGGGAACGAGGCCCTGAGATAACTATCCACCACACTTGGCTGTGAAAAAAATCCTTTTTTATTGAAGAAAAATGGTTACAAAATAAAGGAAAAATGCAAGTCAAAAGCCACAGCAAAATCAGCAAACATGAATTTAAATGGACAAAGCAAAACCAAAAGCCTCACTGGGAAATACTGGAATCTGTTAGCAATCCACTAACCGTACTTGATATCCTAGAAATCTTCCCAAACTATGGCCAGGGAACCGGGAGAACTGCCAAGGTCTTCATCAATTCTGAAACGATGCCTGAACTGAGACAGTCAGCCCGGTGTAAGGCAATTAAAACTCAAGAATTGGTTCCGTGAACCGCCCTTCTTTTTTGAAGCCAATGTTTTTAATTCTTGAATTCGGGAGGATCGACGCAAACTGAGTGATTTACTTCTGTCTTCCCAAATTTGGCCCCTTCTGTTGTCATTACAGTTAACAGGTGCAGAAGGGAGGGAAAGGTCATGGCTTCCCTCTGAAACATTCTCATGAACACTGGTACTTTCATTTTCCAAATTACAGAAGTTCCTTCCTCACTAATTTCAGGAACATTGGCATTTTCCAAACCTACAGCAGTTTCTTCCTCACTAATTTCAGGAGCATTGGCATCAAAAGGTACATTTCCACTAGCATCAGTAAATATACTTTCATTAGCATCAGGAGGAACAAACAGAGAATCAGGTTCAAGTTCAAACTCAGGCTGAACCCCAACACCTGATTTAGATTATCCCGATATTCCTCTACTCCTCCTTTATCTATTTTGTGCTGCCTTTCCCCCAGTCAACCCTGAATCACTCATCTCATGTGTTTTCTCCAATTTGTGGTTTTTTCCCAG